TACACTGTTTATTTCTCGCGCTTGTTTTCAGAATCTGAATCTGAGTGCACTCTGGCCGTACCCTATGGCTGCACGGCTCTGCTTTTAACTTGCCCAAGATGGGGAAAAAAAGATTAAAAAAAATACGATGTCAATTTGACATTGACATGTGTTATATCAAGGAGTTTTTGGCGGGATTTCATAGTGCGGTTGGAATGGAATCTTTTTTTAAATATTCTTTAAATTCGTTCATAGTGGATATGGTGAAATAAAATTGGTGTGATTTTGTGTAACAATCGTCTGCGCAACTGAAGATTTAACGGAATCTTTAAAATATGTGAGAACTTTATTGTAGTGTTGATTACCTTACAGAAGCTTCTCGAGAAAGCTGACTCAAAACATTTCGTGCCAAACACTCCAAGAAACATTAGAATGCGTCACACCCACATTCTAATGTAAAAAAGGAAAATTAATACAAAAATGAGACGATGGCTGCATGGCTTTGCCTTTGCCTTTCACAACAGGGAAGAATGGAACTAAAAAAAAATGTGTTATATCAACAAAAGTTTAACCTCAAATTAATATTTACTTATTATTAATTTTATCTCTAAAGAATTTAAATCTCTCAATGCACAATGGCTTACGTATCAGCTATGTTTTGTCACTTTGCCCATAACTAACACTACGAATGATTTTAGAAATAATGTCCTTTATAAAATGCACCTTTATATCTTTATAACAATATGTTTTGAACCTTTCGTATTTTGGTAATTGTTTATTATTTTAATAGCACTGTTATTGTCAATATACATAATAGGGACACAGTCCTTTTAGGTAAATTATTTCAGATGCACACATGGAGGCAGCTACATTTCGGCTTCAGTTGTTGAAAGGGCAACTGATAACTGTTTCTTGGAAGACCAGGGGGCCAATCGCCTAACTGGATTGCTTTGGAAAACGCTATCGCTTACGATTTCATTTTGTTATTTCTAGCCGCCTGAGGTTTTCGAATACCCCACGCTCATTTTTACAAGCTTTTATTTAACTTGCTATGTATGTTTGTTACGGTCAAATCTTACAACTCAATTTTAAAGCACTTGCTCTCAACCGATTAAGCTGAAATTTGATATGCTCGTTCAGTTCGGATGACAATGCATGATTAACAGTGTGACGTCATTCTAAATCCCATATGGCGGCATACCCAAAATGGCCGACCAATCATTTTTAATGCACTCCTACAATATGGGTATCAAATTAAAGGGCTAGCTGAGAGTAACTCGAAAAAAATGTGACGTCACTCTCAATCCAATATGGCGGACTTCTAAAATTTGAAAATCTAATTAGAAACAGATATCTTTAACTAATTTAGTTGAAATTTTCTTTTTTTCTTTTTAGCGCATTTGCATAAAAGCTTGTTTTTAAAAAGGTTTTTTTAACATAATTTTATTGAAGTTATACTTCTTTAGGCGCGTTATAAAAAAATTATGAGAGTGAAATTTTAAGATGCGCGCGCATCTGTAACACAAAAAATTAACACCATGAAAGTTGGTCGCTTAGCCGCGCTGCCATTACCGCGTCGCCCGCCGCACCGTATGCATGCGCGGCCACTCGCGGTCCTAGCGCGGGAAACACGTACAACAAACATCGGGAAAAGTTACGAGTTTTGAATTTAGAACAGAGACTGTTTTCATATCTATCTATATATATAAAAATGAAACCCGTTTTCCGTTGTCACGACATAACATGAAAACGGCTTGACCGATTTGGCTGTTGTTTTTTTGAAGTTATACTTCTTTAGGCGCGTTATGAAAAAATGATGAGAGTGAAATTTTAAGATGCGCCGCGCATCACTGTAACACAAAATTTTACTTTTGTGTTTACCGCACATTAAGAAAATCTACCAACAAAATAGAAATATAATCTCTATTTAGTGGGTGCTAACGACTGCATTGTGAAGGCCTATCAAAAGTATTTATTAATCTGGAACAACGGAACCAAAGCGCGATTCAGGAGACTACAGCGCCATCTCTTGACCATTGGTGTAGTAGAACCAAAAACCACATCTTTATTTTTTGTAATAAAGTAACAGTTATAGGTATTCATATTTATAATATTTATCCACATGTTTCTAGTTTGTATATTCGGAATACGTGTTTCATTTGGAATTTGAGTTTCATACAAGTGCAAATCACATAATTATGTTCTAATAAATTATATTCAGTAGCGATTTTAATTGAATATTTTGATTATTTATTTATTTTTTCAAATTAAAACTGAACTTTATTGACTGTGTCCTTTTCCAGACTTTTTATTAATTTATTGTAATTAATTATTTGCATGCAATTAAAAACTAATTTTAAACGATGCCAAAGAAGGATAACTTCTCACGCGCCTACATAAGTACACGCACCCATTTTTTGTAGTTTTCTAATACTCTGTACAAGGTTCTTACGGAAAAAAATATAAAGAAAATCCCAAGGGGATAAAATAAGGAATGAAAGTTTGTATGAAACTTTATCAATTTTAAACCGATCGGGCTGAGACTTTGCATGCAGGTATAAGAAGAATCATAGATGAATGTCATTGTGTATAATACAAGTCTGAGAACAAAAACTGTAGTCTACACCGAAGCGAAGCGAGGGCGGGTCGCTAGTTTATAATATTTATCCACATGTTTCTAGTTTGTATATTCGGAATATGTGTTTGAGTTTCATACAAGTGCAAATCACATATGTTCTAATAAATTATATTCAGTAGCGATTTTAATTGAATATTTTGATTAATTATTTATTTTTTCAAATTATAACTGAACTTTATTGACTGTGTCCTTTTCCAGACTTTTTATTAATTTATTGTAATTAATTATTTGCATGCAATTAAAAACTAATTTTAAACGATGCCAAAGAAGGATAACTTCTCACGCGCCTACATAAGTACACGCACCCATTTTTTTTAATATTGTTATTACCAATGCAAAAGAAAAAGAAAGAGCGCGAGGCATTTGAATACCTCAGGCGGCTAGAAATAACAAAATAAAATCGTAAGCGTTAGCGTTTTTAAAAGCATTTCCGTTAGGCGATTAGGTTAAATCTTCAGTTGCGCAGACGATTGTTACACAAAATCACACCAATTTTATTTCACCATATCCACTATGAACGAATTTAAAGAATATTTAAAAAAAGATTCCATTCCAACCGCACTATGAAATCCCGCCAAAAACTCCTTGATATAACACATGTCAATGTCAAATTGACATCGTATTTTTTTTAATCTTTTTTTCCCCATCTTGGGCAAGTTAAAAGCAGAGCCGTGCAGCCATAGGGTACGGCCAGAGTGCACTCAGATTCAGATTCTGAAAACAAGCGCGAGAAATAAACAGTGTAGTCTAAGCAGGTTGCCTGCTTTTTCTCGCGCTTTGTTTTCTGAGTCTGAATCTGAATCAGGAGTGCACTCTGGCCGTACCCTTCGACTACACTGTTTATTTCTCGCGCTTGTTTTCGGAATCTGAATCTGAATCTGAGTGCACTCTGGCCGTACCCTTATGCGGCATAATGCTTAACGTTGGGTGTTCCAACTACAGCTACGCTTGTGTGATGTGTGCAATCGTACCAACTCAGAGACAGAAAATTAACAAGTGTTTTTTCTTTAAGTTGGCATTGATTGAAATGTTTTATTTATATGTTATCGTTAGTAATATTATTTATTGTTGAAAAATTATTAAAACTTTCGTTTCATCATAGTTTTTTTTTAATAATCAAAGTTGTTTCAAACTGTGTTAAAAATTAAATATAGATATTAATGAAGGTACAAACATTGATTTTTTTTTCAACACTGAACTTAGCGCACTCTGCTGGTGCATTTGAAAACTAATTCACGTTCCAATTAAACATCAGCATAATTCGGCATTGTGCGGCACTGAGTCGCATTATGCTCTGTAATTGGAAAGCAACCATTATTTTTCAATAGCATAGGTCGTTAATTAAATAAACAAGACAATAAATATTCCTGTATTTTCTTTGTTGCCCTGAATCCTGAATAATAAAAATATTAGTCTGCCCTGACCCAATTCCCTTACACGTGAACACCTAGAAAATTATACACCTATAGTAACATTAAGTACAACAAGTATCTTTGAAAGTTTGAAAACTAAACAGTAAAACAAATAAAACGTGTATTCATTTATTCCTATGATTTTAACGTTGTTGATGCAAACAAATATGTGTAGTGAAAACAAGTTTTGTGTTTTAATCCAATTCTAAATTTAAGATATTTTTGGAATTGTGAGTAGTTACATTTATACCCCCACAGACATGTGTTGTACCTAGTACTACCTAGGTTGTACCTTTAAACCCTTACCGCCATAATACAAAATGTAGACTAAGATAAAGTTAAACCTGCCACCCATATAGCATGACCAACCATGATATGATAACTCGTTTTTATTACGCTCGAACTATCAAATTAATATGATGTTTGCAGTAACACTAGTTAAAAAACGTGGTTTATTGTAAATTGAGGTGTCATGCTATGGTACAGGGACTAGACCAAGGAACTTATATATCTAAATATATATTATTCTATTTCTATTCCTTGGACTTGACTAAAACCATAGACTAAAACTGATGCTGTCACGTTAGTTTGCTAAAAAGAAAACAGTGACAACATTATTATTGGAATATGGATGGGATGGGGGTATGATCATAAGTTGAATCATGAAGTTATTCAAAGCCATTTGGTATATTTACCTTTCTCTATGATTTAAACTCAGGATCAAGAAAGGGTGAACCATAGATTTAAGATGCCTATTGTGAGGTGAGAACCGACTTTTTAATTTTTGTTACGTTGACAGCACTGGCATTTCCGCGCCGCAAAGTTGGATGCATTTGTTTTTTATTCGCGTTCTATTTTTGTGAGTGACGGTGCCGTCCGGCAAAGATTTTAATTTCCTAAATAAATTGGTGATAATCATTTAAATTATCTAAATAGTTTCAAAAAATTCGAGATCACAAAGTATCGCAAAAATGCAGAACGGTGACGATACGACGACGCCCGCAGAAAGTAGTGAGTACAAATTACATTTTGTTGTCAGAATAAAAGGGTAAAATAACAATCATTGTTCCACTGTTTCTTCGACAATTAGGCCAAAATGCCACTACGAAGACGCTTAAAAATGTGTAAATAATTGTATTTGTAGGATTATGTGGGTATTTTCGTATTTTGGAGTACATGAAACAAATTACCATTGTACATAATTCCTTTAACAATCCCATTGGTATTTTTTATGGTTGAAACACGGAAACTAATTTCACTTGCAATGTTTCGTGCACTGATTATGATTATTTGGGTTATTTCTCGGTTTAGAATTATTGATACTGTGGGTAGCTTAATTGGAGTGTGAAACGTGAGTCACGGTACGTACCTACTTGGTCTGCCCACCTGCTTTTTTTAAATGCAGTTGATTAGTTGAGCAATTGGATGCGTTTTATCTTAATATAAAAATAACAAAACTGGAAAATATGCAACAATGACTTGGATACCATGTGTAACCTTGCTCATAAAATATTTTTAGAACTACCTCCAACACCCACAAAATGTCTTGAAAAAGGTCATTAGATCTTTCTATTTGCTCTGAATCATCAAAGTGAAGGACTTCAACTTAATATAATAGTAGTTACCTCATCAGTCTTGAATGTGTACTTCATTTAATTCTTTTCATTTGTAAAAACTCTACACTTGCACAAATAATTATTTGTAAGTGAACCTATTTTACTGATTTCAGTTCTGGGTTGGATCATCACATTATATTATATTAGTATTTGTAATACTTGCTACTAAGGCGCTTTGATTGTTTTGATTTGTATAATTAATTCTGGGTAGATCAATTTCAGTTTGCGATTGTGGAAGTAAAGCGACTTTCACTAGGGCCCGTCACTGGATGGGTGACCAAACACTTGCGTCACTTGCTCGCTGTGACAGTCCTGAGCAAAAAAGCATGTGCACATGTTTTGACTGCCAAGCTAGCATCACTGACAGAGTATCTCTGAATGAGTATCGCTCAGCAAGTATTATCTTTGATAGCTCTTGTCAGTATTCAGTTAGTCAGATCTGGTGGTGGGACAACTGCCTTATCTTGTATACTTTTTACAAATCAGTTTTGAATCACCTAGAGTCTGAACACCAAAATAAAGTGGTTAAAAATCTCATAATTCATTATTTTTATAGATTATTGTATTAATGACTTAAGAATGGGTAAATAATGGTTTCAATTCTGACATGATTCTCTAAACCTGAACTTAAATATGGCAACAGTGTATCCTTGTCATTCTCTACAGAATGTTTTGTTTAAAATTTATTCATATTATATATAATTTAATATTTTGTTGTAATTAATAAATCAATTTTATAATCGAATGTTTAAATGCAATTTAATAATTGAATTTTTTTGCCACTCCTACTAGGGATATATATTGCGCTAAACCTTCAGCCCTACATAGAGGGCTCAGGTATGGTTGGAGTACTTCACAATGTGCAAGGTTGCACCCCTTATGTTATCCTACTGCTCTTGAGTATATGCAATAACACCCGCTTGGGCTCCCCCTCCCCTACAATAAGTAAAATACAATATTGTTAGTTTATTGCTGTAGATCAAAGTTATTTTGGCAGGTAAGATGATAGTTATATACCTATATGTACTTGTGTAGCATTGTTTAATCCTTTATGTGTGTAATAAGTATGCGCAGGTGTTATTGGTATTGTAAAGATAGATCCATTTCCTTGCGATATTAATCACTTTGTTCTCGTTTCAGCGGCATAGTAACATAATTTTGGTTTTTTTAATTCTGATTCTAAAGATATAATTAAAAAAATATTTAGTTCTAGTAATTAGTAATATTTTTTAAAGGGGAATTATAAAACGATCAAATAAAAAAAAACTTAGCAACTGATGATGAGATACTGTTTTAATAACTTGAGCGATATGAATTTGAGTAATCGCAAAATTCACTAAACTAATGACGAATATTGATTAATAATAAAATCTAAAACGAGCTTACACAAAGTGGATTGTGATTAATCCATTTCAAGCATTAAAATTATAGCCGTGTGACTACATTACTAAGTGAGCATGCAGGCGATCAGCATAACACATAGGACAAAGAGCCTATCAAAAGACACATATATTCATCATTTGGAAGTAACCACTCTTGCATTTTTATTGGTACCCATATATCTTTATATATATAATTCTTCTGTGAGTGTGTATGTCACTGAACTTCTCTTAAACGACTGGACCGATTTTGATGAAATTTTTTGTGTGTGTTCAAGGGGATCTGAGAATGGTTTAGATTCACAATTTTGTCCGCTGGACAACCCCTATTTTTTTAGGGCGGTACGAAGTTCGCTGGGTCAGCTAGTATACATATATATAATTATAAATCTATAATTTAAATGAATAAGGCACTTGCCCCATCACCGACAATGAACGAGTAGCGAGTATATCTGGAAACGAGTTAGCAAGTAGCGGAAAGCGAGTTTGTACTTCCGATAGTTATATCTTGGCCATAAGCAAGTGTGCGACTACAACGGGCGATTACTCGCGCCAATCGCACGTGGTGACAGTCCTGAGCAAAAATGCACGCGCACGCGTTTTGACTGCCAAGCGAGTATTTCCTTTGTAGCTCTTATAGCTCAGCGGCGAACTAGTGGAGCGTGTTCTCGCCGGCAGTATGAACTAAGCGATCAACTGCTATATATGCTTCTCTTTTATTTACATGGAATGTGTATATCTGTTACCGGCCAAACCCGATTTCAGGACAAACTAGTTTTGCCTAGGCTAAACTAGGTCTTCCTATACGCGATAGGATTAACTAGTATAGCCTAGTCCAAACTAATTTGTCCTAAGCTCGATAGGATAAACCAGTTTAGTCTAGGCCAAAGTAGTTGATCCTGATATAAATACGCATACTCTAGGATAAACTAGTATGGCCTAGTCTAATCATTATAGTATATCTAGAAAGTCAAAATAAATAGATAAAGTGAATAAAATACTCCGTAATTGGAAAAATAATATTTTTTATTAAAACGATAATGATTCATCGTTAAAAGTTTTGGATAATTAGTAATAAAAACAATCACACTATAAAAAATAATATGTGTTTTTTTAATAGAAGCAGTAATAATATCTCAATTATTAAAATTGTTATTTATTTTTACGTGGTGTGCTTTGGTGCCACTTAGAATAGCAGAGTATCATTGCCTTCTTGCCTTCTTGAATTGCAGAGTACGAGTATCAGTGCCATCATTGGCAACTGTTTGTGGAACAGTTTTTGTTGCAGCTGCATCTATGCGCATACACACTCCCTCCACTTTCTTCCAGCGTTCTTTTTACATGACGCAACCTGTACAATTCCTGACATATTTGTTCAATTACTTTCGACTCTGCTAAATTTGTTTAGACTAGGCCGTACTAGTTTATCCTAGAGTGAGCGTATTTATATCAGGATCAAGTAGTTTGGCCTAGGCTAAACTGGTTTATCCTATCGGGCTTAGGACAAATTAGTTTGGACTAGGCTATACTAATTAATCCTATCGCGTATAGGAAGAACTAGTTTAGCCTAGGCAAAACTAGTTTGTCCTGAAATCGGGTTTGGCCGGTAACATATCTATTATAAACTTGAGCGAGAAAATGGCGTTAGTTAGTCGCTTATTGCCGGCGCGCGGTGGGTGGGACTACTGCCTGTATATTTTTTTCTAAATTATTTAATTATAATACGTCTATAGTATATTAATATGTAATCTTGTAGAATATGATTCATTAAGACACTAAGTCGTTATGCCCACCAAAAACATTTTCACGTAAAATGTTGCCAGACGAGACCATATAACTCGCACTGTCAAAAAGTTATCAGATCTTATGTACATAGAACCAAGCTAACGCTAAGGCCTAACTTCACAAACCAAAACCAAAACTATTGACTTTATGAAAAAAAGGTTGATACATAAATTGTAGGCAATTGTCTCTAGTTTCATTTTGTACATAACTGTTTTTATCGTAAAATGAGTCGGAAAGGAGATATTGTCAAAAAACTGCTTTTAGGCGCCCATTTTTCCAATATGACGGCGCGGGCGGCAAAAATACGAGGTGGCAAAGTCGAAATTCGGAAAGAGCACCTCAAAATCTATAAAATTAAAAATTTTCAAAACTCTCGGAAAACTTTCCAGGTAACCACTTTATTTCCCACCAAATGACTGTACTATTTTAGTATTGTTCTTTAGACAAAGTTTATAGTCCAATATCACAAGACCGCCAGACCTTACATATAATGTGATGGACAAAATATGAATAATCGAGTAGTAATAGTGTGTACAATGAACGTATACATACTCGCCACTTGTGCCGTTGGCCAATTTACAGGTATCAGGTGGCAAAGATACGTAACAATTTTACTCACTTTACTTACAACCGCCTGTGTGATTCTGTCCGCTATTGACAACATATCCCGAGAATGTTGTTTATCCAGTATTTATTTACAAATAAATCCAAACCAAGTATAGGGGTTCAAAAAAACGACGAAGCGCTTCGTGAAAAGGTAGATAGTGCCCTTGCTCTTTGCTTAGCTCATCTTGTCCTTTTGGCGGGGTCACTACCTTGCCCCCAGATTGTAAATATTGTCTCGCCTTAGTACCTACTTTAGCAAATGGCGCTTTTCATAAATTCCATTACCACCTCCATAATTTTTTCGCCTTTTCAAAGCATTTTTACTTCGTCATGCCAAATCGCGTGCTTACAGCTTATCGCCTTCTGCAGATGTCATCGTAAATTGGTTTAGTGCAGAATAACAATGCAATCAACATTTGATAACGAATTAATCTTGTTTTGCTATGCGAACGAATTTAATATATTTTGTTTTGTTTTTTTATTTATTTTTAAGCATTTACTGATAAATTAATATATTAACTGATTAATATATTTTGTCTGGAAAATGAAGATTTGTGTAGTTTCATCGATTTATTCTTGATCAGATCAGATTTAGTACCTACAATAGCTCGTCAATATTTTTTAA